CTAAACTTCCTGCGACATGAAGTGGCCTTATTGCATTGTAAACAAGCAGACCTGTGAAAACGTCTCTTTTAATCCAATAGAAATATTGCTCTCAACTTCAAGACTAGTTTTGCTAACTAATATTACTTCCTTGTTACCTCTGCATGCAGGTCACGCTGGAACATTTCTGTTTGCACAACCTGTACTCATTCGCTTGTACATCGCAATACATAAGTCATTACAGGGTCATGTAAACAGTCATTACATGGTTATTACAGGGACATATCAAATTTTATATCCACAATTCCTTTGAACAAACTGCAGCATGCCCAGCAGGTGAGCAGGAAGGACCGATTTACGTCATAAGTCTTGCGAACTCGTTGGGCGGGACCCACAGCGGGACCAGTAGTGTGGGACAACCTGGTGATCATACAGTACCTTCACAAAGTTCACGATTTTGTGCTTCATTTGGAAATTGTCAAATTTTATGATACCATCAATTCATTTACTGTGTTACCGAGATTTAATTACCAGTCTGAGAATTTGGGAATGCAGTTCCCTAAGGTCTAGGAAAGGTTGTGATCCATGCATTCACAATCTTTAAAGTCACTGTGAGCACAAAGGCACGCCTTCACAATTACTAACAGTGACAAACCAGAGGACACAACAGGAAACACATTTAAAACTGAGAACATTTCATTACAGATAGGGTTGTGGGAGCCTTGAACAAGTTTACCAGCTGAAGCAGAAATCATAGATTCTTTCAAGAAATGGCTAAATGTGATCCTCAGATCAATTACCTATTAACTACCAAACAGGCTAGACGAGCTGAATGTCTTCCTCTCATTTATAACTGTTCTTATGTTCTTAAGGAGGCTCATTCCACTCTTGGCACAGCCCACCGCTACTGCCATCAACTGGATGTGCGTGGTGATAATGCCTATCAGATTACAATACTGGAATCAAGATATCCATTTAAACTGATCTTGAAAATATTTAATTAAATCAACACTTTCCTATTCATATTTTAATTTTACTGTCATCTGATCACAGATCATCTCATCAGAAGCAATTAGTCTTCTGATGAGATGATCTGTTAGGCAAGACTGGTGGACAGCAAAACACCTTTGTAACCAATGACTTTTTTTGCTATGAGTTTGCTGGCAAAATCACAATACGGCACAGTTCTTCACTTTTTTCCTAAGCAAACAATAATGAAATCTTACTCCCAGCATCAGCTGAAGTCATACCCAGACAATCAAATCAGTCCTGGGACTTGTTACTGACGAGCACACACGAGGACGATCTTATTGTCTTGCCAAAGAAATGACATATCTCCTTGAGGGAAGACAATAAGAATTTCTTGTGGTTTTAAAATGCAAGTACACAAGAAGCTGTTGTTTTCAGCAGAGGAGTAGTTGCTGGAAATACGTCAAAAGTCAAGTCATGACTGGCTTGATAAAAGAGATTTTAAGGAATTTAGAACTTAGCTTATTTAAGGCTTCTCACAGAGCCAAGAGATATTAAATCACCTTACAGGCTTTTTAATGTGACTTGTAAACAAATCTACAGTCATTGGTTCTGGGCCATAGATCTTAATTCATCCTGAGGTTTTTTTTAATCAGTTTTTTTGTGCACCTTACTTACGCAAGGTTAAATCAATAGTATTTCCTAATAAAACAGAATCTTGCTCATCTTGTCAGGTGACTACTCTCTTATATTCAATTATTAGGAGTGTCAGAGCTCTAGCACTAGTCTCCCCTAGGCTGACTGTGGTGCTCTTGGATTGCTCAAAGCCTAAGAACATGAGAAAGACTTCAAAGTACAAACATCTTGTATCTTATGAGAAAATTAACTTCAGTGTCCCTGCACAAGTCTGATCAAAGTCACAGGATCAAATTACTTCTGTATCTGGCTGAACAAAGACTGTGTTGGTCAACATCCCATTACAGACTTTAGCCAATATTGAACTTGCGTCTCCTTTTGAACTGCAGAGGTTAAGGATGTAAAGTCTCAGACTAAGATCCCTGACTTGGATAATGTTTTTATCTAAGGAGACTCACAGTTCACAATACAACTAAACAATCATACAGTATGTGAGGATAAGTGTAGCCCAGTCTTCATGAGTACACCAGTTCTGTATGGAATCAAAATTCACACTGAGGTGTACATAAATACTGTACAAATGCAGTCTGAAATATGTCCCACAGCCTTCTTTTAAGTGCTGCCTGCTATAGAAGAGGGTTGGACAATTTCACGTATTGTATCTGCATAGTTGTCCATTAAGATTCAATTTCCCCATATTACAGTTCCTCTGCTGAACTGCAGCAGCCACTCAGGAAAGTGACCTATTTGAGACTAATGCGACAGACTACAAAAATCTGCATCTTCAGACGCTGACACAGAACAGACACGTTATATAATTTTTCCTGGCATTGCTCTCCCTAGTACAAATTGGCTGTTTACAATGATTAAAATTACTGTGTATTTTCAAATCTATTAAACTACATGCCACTCTGGTTTACAATAAATACTCTGACAGAAATTACAGTTGTTCCAGATGGCATTTCTTTTGTTTTAGATCCAATTTTTCAACCTGAAATCTTACAAACAAATAGGTGTAGAAGGGCTTTCTAATGAAAATGAAGGCTTCCCACCAGAGATTATATTTGTAATTGTTCTCATATGCAAAATGTTGTGCTGAGGCATTCAGCACTTTGTTTCAGCCTTTTTCTGCCTGTTAAATCTCATAAATCGAGCAATGCTGCTGGCTAAGAAGATGTGTTTCATGGCTCACTCACAACTATGTACGTCTGGAAAAAAATGTGGAAGAAAGCCTTTTCGATATTTTGGTACATAAAGATGTAAAACAATGTTGTTCTTTTGTGTGACAAACATTTGGGCACAACAACCCAGAAAACATTTTTATACCACCTGGGCACTTGTGCCAAAAGAGACAATATTGCACTTAAGGCGCACGCGTTACGGGTCTTCAGCAAATGTATTTTCCCGTGGTAAAGCAAGCCTGAGTCGCTGTCTGATAGTGCCGTGGGAAACAATTCTGCATTCAGTTTGGGGAAGAGTTCAACTGCATTTTCACCGAATCAACTACTTCACTAGGCTTTTACAAATGATAAAATTACATCTATCAGAAATGGGAATCTACACTCTGTTTTTTTAAAACTATTTTAATCATGATTAAAATTACAATAATATTAATATTATCATTGCAGACATGCTGAAAAAGGCACTAAGGCAGTATGTTTCAGCTGTATTGAATGACTTGTAGAACTGTCTTGTCTATCTCCCATGGAGGCCACCAGAAGAGCCGTCACTGTCCATTTTCTAACACTCATAGGCCCAATCTAGGTGAAGGAATGTTTATGAAATCACGTATCGTGGTTTCTGTAGTCCCACTACACCAACCACCTGGAGTCTTCAGGATGCAGCAGAGAAAGGCACGGTAACTAAAAGGATCCTCCATTCAAAATGAGCTGACTACTTTCTGACAATTACCTCATCTCTCAGCTGGGCCTTCCTGGCTATGGGGTCATTTGCAATACAGTAACCAACAGATCTCACTAAACAACTGCAAAGCAAAAAACAATTAAATCAATCAATAAACAGAGGGGTTGCCTGCATGTAATGACATTATTCTCCCTGTGCTGTGAGCTTTCAGACTCACAGTGGAGCATGATACAGCACATGGCCAGAAAAAGCACATTGCCATCACAACAAGCACTTCTCCCAAATGCATCATTTTACGTGTTCAAGTTCCAAATTGTCCCGAACACCGAACGAGGAAATTCCATAGGGGCGCCTTTAGGTTCTTTATTGTAACTATATATTGTGGTTTTCAAGCTACCCTAATTCTACACAACCCTGTCTCACTTTCCCTTCAGCTTTGCAATGACCTGGCACACACTGCCCCTCCTACAATATATCATGGAGCTGACAAGCTGCCATGTTGTGTAATGCGAGACTCTGAAAAGTTCTACAGCTGTTCAGATTTTCTGCCGGGTCTGCCACAACAATGATATCATGGAACAAAGCTGGAATGTAACCATAATCTGCTGGTTAACTATACTTTAACCTCGGTCCCTACACAGCTCACCACACACACCAGACAGGGTCCGCAGTCCTTGAGTAGCCCAGCTCATGGAACAGGGATTGCAAGGAGAAATCACAGCATTGAATTTCAGCTTATTGGACACATCCAAGCAATACCGTGTTGCCACAGAAAAAACAACACACCCGATACACTTAACTAAAAAAACTGAATAATAAACGATTTTATTTAGTGCCTTTATCAGTCATCTCAGAGTATTTTTCAATACAAATTCAGGTTCCATACACCCAAACAGGTCATTGCAGTATTGACATTGTTACAGCTACAAAATACAATTACTGTAAGCACTACTGCAATAATTATCAGCAACTGCATTACCTAATGAAAACCGTATGAAGTACTGTACGGACAAAAACTGGAAGTCCATGCAATTACACATCTACTGCATGGCCTACAGCATAATCACTATAAATAACAAGAGAAAGTCATCACTCCATAGGTCATACTTAATACAGGGGTGTGATTGCAGCTGACAAACAGGGCCCTCATCTCTCACACCTCCTCCAAACCCCACACTACAGGAAATGACTGAACTGCTAAAGGCTCTTCTGACACTAAAATGGAACGTGTGATTCAAGAAAGCGATGCTCTCTTTTATTAAGGGCTTGTACTGCCAGCAAGCCACCTGGAGTTTCTCTGTGGCAAAGGAAGTGGTGAATCCCACTCTGAGTACCAAATCACATAAACCGCTGTTATTTTTTAATAAAAAGGTGAGATGCCTGCAAATTCTGCGCTCTTCACTGCATGTGAAGGTTGCTGTTGTTGGCATCTCTTTGAAGTAGACCTTCACACATTCCTGTTTACCTTCTGATCTGATGCCCGCACTTTCTGCCCCCCAAAAATCCCACAGCCCAATACACGCTGTACAGTATGAGACAGCCCCAGCTCCTACCTGTACCAGGCAGCTGCAGATCTCCCTCTTAAAAGCTGCAGTCAGACCGGACTCCCTGCAAAAACAAATGCGATTACATAAAGACAGTTATTAGGTGGCTCATGTTACGTTTTGACAAGAAAATTAACAGCCCGTGTGCAGCTCTTCTCACCCTGCAGGTCTCCCTTTTATGGTGTCTGCCAGTCTGTGCAGGGGCTGCTATCAGTGCAAGAGGAAGCAATGCTCTTAATCAAGATATGATTAAACAACCAAGTGGTACACAGAAGTTCTTTTTATCTTTCTTCTCTCTTTCATAATAGCATGACATTACCCAGGCATCATAACACTAGCACTTCACTCATTTATTAAAGCTAGATAAACAGGAATTGTTTTCTTCTTACAAAAGCCCTGCAAATTAACCATTGTCCTTTTAGCAATTAAATGACTTGCACAAGATGCTGAAGACTTTAAAGTGGCAACTCCAGAAAATGATGGAACAAAACCATCAGTTTTTTTTTTTAAAACAGACTATGCCCAGTAACGGATAATGCTGTATCACAGGTTAGCACACAGCAGCACTGAAGGCTCTGGTGAATTAGTTCTCAACACTCTTGCTTGGCAAATGCAAAACTTCCCCAGGGATCTGTTGAATCAAACACCAAAAATTAAGTTGTTCTTTGAGTTTCAAGGTGTTGTAAATGGCAGATGAAGGCATTTTAGACACCACAAATGGTAAATAATGGGATGTGAATTCAAAGCTCTTCTTTACACAAAAGTTCATAGGAGTCTGGCAAAGGCTACCCTGCCATGTTGTCAAAGCCAATGTCTTGGCTTCATTCAGAAGTGGCTGATTGACCTCCTCAGATGAATGAGCTACCAGCAACGAAAATGAACTGGACTGGCTGAATGGCTTCCTCCCCTTGGCAAAGTTTCTCATGACGTTAAAGCCTAAGGTAAAGTCAAATGCACCCACAAGGTATACTTCAATGCACAGCAGACACCTTGCACTCTGTGACTCCACTTGCCAGATTTAGAAAGACAATCCAAACAGAAGCAATGCCTTAGAGGTCTTGAGCACCAGTTCAAGTACAGTATGACAAAATCATAGAATACGGCTTTTAGAATTGTGGTCAAATCAGTTTAATACATTTTTGTGATTTTATTTTTAAAAAAGCTGCTATGCAAAAAAAAAACAACCAAAAATTAACAACATAATGGCTTGTCTTTTAAAAAAAAGAGAACAGCTGACAAATCTAGCATACCACGTATTTTACAGAAGGCATTACAGAATACTGGTCCTTGTTGTGGAATTACACATCATTCACTGAAATCCCCTTCATGCTACTGCAATTGTATTAGCTAATGTAATGTTTGTTTAAGCAGAGCTGCTGAACTCAAACGTAACCACAGCTTTCATTTAGACACGATTCCAGTTCGCTTAACCTTTTGTGATATTTATTCAAAATTGTGCAAATATCACCACAGAAAGATCACAAGCAGGCGGGTTTCCTATTTTCAAGACTTCCCACGCTGCTGTCAAGAACCCTCCGAGAGGTGACAAATAGTTCACCTAAAACAACATTAGAAAGTCCAAAATTAACGCTACTCTGGGCTTGTGAAACCACTGGTTGCTTTTCATGCATTTGCAGTTTACGTAAGAAAAACGAGATATCTTGAGGCGGCCTTTCTCTCAACATCTTAATTAACCCGTCTTCCTTTTCCTTTCAACTCTTCACTCTGTGGGAGACAAACATCATTGTTTCGGTTTTTCTTTTCACCCCGTGTGCTACGAATGTCAGCAGGAGTCCCGAGTTCGACAGAAGGAGAAGGCCAGGTGACATGCCTCATCCATAGTGAGTTTACAGAACAGACACGAAGGTTTAGGGAGGGATTATGAAGGGATCAAAGGAGATGCTGTCTTTACAATGGGGAGTTACAGAGAAGTGTTTCAGGCTGAAGACATTACATGTTTGAAGGTGTTACTGCTGTCAGCTGGTTTATCCAGCGTGAGCATGAAAAGCAAAGTTTACATTCCAGTACTGTTTTTTTTACGTTTACCAGACTTTTCCTTGGAATACGTGTTTAATGAGCATACTCAGTAGTACACAAAATCCTGGAAACAGACTTTTTATTTTTAATTATATCAGGGTGTTTTTTTTTGATTGAAGCAAGATCAGAAAGATAAGGTCTGGGCTGGAATCAGAAAGCATGTGCAAGCAGATCTCAATACTCAGTGAGGCAGGGCTGAAGTCAATGTTACCACACAGTGCTTTTAGGGTTAAATAGCTTCAGTGCCACTGTTCTTCTCTGGCAATCCCACACACATTACTGGTAAGCACAAGGTCTCCCCATCCACTTTATTTAAAAAACATAAGACGATTCACTTACTAAGAACACCTTCTATCAGGCCTTTCAGACCACACAGCTATCTGTGCCACGCCAGCGAGGAATATTTTCAAATTTCCTTTGTTGTTTAATAATAATTTTAATGCACACTTTCCTTTTTTACTCTTTAAGGGCTCACTTTAGACACGCTGCAGTTGCAGCTGAGCTCTTGCCAGCCTTATCATTTTTTCAAATGTAAACACGAGTTAGTTTGCCATCTTTTTGTCAAGAACCCGAAAAACACTGTCAATATGATAATGAATAACAGTAACACGAGATGAACACTTTGTGAAAAGAAAGCTGAGGCACGGCCCTGTTACACTTTTGGGAACTTTTATTCTGAGATTTTATCAAGAGCTTTTCTCTCTTAGGACGGGCGTTCACCTCTCTCCATGCTGGTGATGTCTAACAGCAAGCTGTTCTGCTGATGAGTAAAAGACACCACTGGATGATATTAATATAGCTCACCTCAGCGTCTAAGGCACTGAGTGCACCACAGACATTACTTAGCTTAACTTACTTAGCTTAACAATACTTTTGCTTTCAGAAAACTATACATTTTACCACATAACTTGCATTAAATTACATAAAATTACACAAAAATAATGCATTAGAGAAAATATCAACACCACATAGTAATACAGAAGCAGAGATGAGGTCTGGCTCAAAGAAGCACTTTATAAAGTCTTTATAAATTCCTGCCCCAAGTACAGTGTAGTGTGAAAGTACTTCAGCCCCCCTTACGTTTACTATGGATACCAGTAAACATCAGCAGACACCAGGGAGACGTGCATTAATGCCTGGGATTCAGAACACAAAAGCCATTTGATTCACATCGACATTGAGTGTTATTATCCAGACAGAAACATCTCGTATCCGGTCAGTAACATCTCACTATCTATTTTACCGTCTCAAAGTTCCACATTGTTGCTAAAGTTTGGCGCAAAACATGACAAAAAGGTCTATCTGCATTGCTGCTATGCGTTTAATTAAACTCTATTTCAATTCTCTACTGATATCCTAGTTAAAAAGATCCGATTGAATATTCCACTGCAGCCATACTGAATGACAAGATGTATTACCTGCCCCAACGTTTGCATACAGCACTGAGTTACTGCCATCAACAATACATAGAAAGAGCTGTCGCAGACCAACATGGGGAAATACGAGGAGCACAGCCTTAACGTGTGCATAAAAAGTAGGTCAGGCTGTAATCAAGGCAAGTCATGTTCTTTCATCTTCCAGGTGAAGTATCTGACTCTTTTCAAGTAGCAGAAGAGGTTTATGTACATACCTTCACCCATCCCCTTTGTTCATCTGTGCAGCACAGCGTTGCAGCAAAAATGAAAAGAAAATACACAAAAAAAGGGTAGTCGTGTTGAGAATGCAGTATTAAGAGATTTCAGTAAGAGGAGGGAAATGGTCCGAAGGCTGATGGCATATTACCCTTTAATAATGTGTCTATCAGCAGAGGGAGAGGGATTGTGCAATGAAAGCTGTGTGACAATATTTTACCTCTACTAGAAATGTTTATTCTACAAGGGGTAAATGCTTCCTTCACAAACAGGGGACATTTCTTACATCCCCTCCACACACATAACCTAGAAAAAAACTGTATGATTGTAAAATCTTCAGTCTTCGTTTACTTTAAGAACGGTCAACTAGGACAACTCAGTCGACAGGCTACAGGACTGATTTGACAGTCACAGATCACTTTTACCTCTGCTGCCCATAGGTCCCAAACAAAAGGCTCTGCAAATTGCCTGGAACAGCAGCAGGTGTTGTCTCGGGGGGTATCAGGTGCTGTACTGAGCAATCTAGACCTATTAAGCTCTCTACAATGTTCTCACTTCGCTTTCTTATTCTAACATTTTTGAGTCCTAAAGTGCTGGGCTCCTTATGTTAGCTTTAACCATATATTTGAAACACTTTGTCTGTCCAAAAGAACCTGCTTTGGAAGACTGAGGTCTGATAGCTGGAAAACAAAACCAAAGTGCTCTACAGTTTTAAGACACTCATTGACACTCTGTATCAATGATACTGGGGTGGATGCATTTGGAGCATTCTGATTTAGAGTATTGGGAATATAGATGCTAAGATACAGATATAGAACTCTAAGTCCCATTATCTCAGATATTTCAATACATACATGGTGACAACTGTCTGGAATGCAGAATCATCAGTGTACATGAGTCTGATTATTAAAGTCAGGGTGGTTTTATTATTGGACTGGAGTCGTAGTTGGAGATTAAATAAATATCCATTTGATACAGTAAGTCATGGAGACTCCAGAAAGAAGCTTGCCCATTATCAAACAGAGCTTACTGATAATTTTCCCTTAGCAATGTTAATATCATGAAGAAACTTATAATGTTATGTTATAATATGGTCATACTCTTAAACTAAGTCTGTTAAGAAACCTGTCTGTGTCACAAAACTTACACACATTTGAGAGCAGGGGCTCTGCAACATTTTGAAAAATCAACACAGCACAGATCTGAAACCTCACGTCTAGGATTCCTGCACAGCAAAGCAGCTTTTCTACAAATAGGACCCTACAAATCCAGTCTGGGCTCAGATCCACTCTGTACTCCCTAGTTTACGGTTATCTCTGTATCAGTTTAGATCTATTAAATAAAGTGGGATTTGGGATACTGATGAATCAATGCATCCTTCTTTGCAATGCTGACA